GCACAAGAGCATGGCCCCCGCTCCACTACTCACCGAATGTGCGAAGGGAGAATGAATTTTCTTCTAGAACATGGAAAGATACACCACCATTCTTTTTTTTTTTTTGTCCTTTCTGCATGTGGTAAGTGCTGGGACGCTTTTTATCCATCCTTTTTTTTTGGGGGGGGGGGGGGGGGGGGGGGGGAAAGGGTTTTTTGGTGGGGGGGGGGGGGGGGGGGGGGGGAATAACGGATGTTCTCTGCGGAAAGCTTGAGGGGCATGGGCTGCATTCCCTGTTGGAATTCCCTGGGTGTATCTGGTCTCATATTCGTAGCAAATAAATCCCCATATGGCTATGACCTTAGTTGTGGACTCGTGGCAGATCGCTTGACTTATAACATAATTCTGTGATGATGGCTGGTAACGGTGGAATTCGGGAAAAAAAAAAACAAAAAAACCAGAACACACAGAAAGCCCAGGACGGACGTTCCTGCGAAGGCGGTGACGTGTTTGGATTAGTCTACTATAGGTTGTGTGACTGTCAGGCACGGGGGATTTGCCCAGCGCACCGGAAATCAGCGGTGCCGTGTTTTTGCGAATCAAGCATGGGAAAAGGATGGCGTTTGGTGCTCTCCCAGTGGGTGGGTGTTTTTTCTTTTGTTTTTGTTGTGGTGGTCCTGAACGTGCTTGTTAATCTGCACGGGGGATTTGTCAGGCATGGGGGATTTGCCCAGCGCACGGGAATCAGTGGCGCGAATCAAGTGTGGGTGGGGTCCTGAAAGTGCTGCTTAATCTGAAGATGAAGACAATTTCTGTTGGCCCTTAATTTTGGGCATGTTTGGCTCACTGCGAAGGCAAGGATGAATGTGGCTTCATGGCTGGAAAGTAATGTGGATTTGACGGGGTTCGATCCCCCGTCACCTACAGCAAGTAGTGGCTGCATGGAGTGACTTTTGCCCTCCTTTGCCAAGCGAGAAATAACGTCACGACCAAAGGGGCCTAGCTCAGTTGGTACACCCATCATGACCTATGAACTGTTGAAATTAGAGATCCAAGTTCGAATCCAGATGCAATCAGATGGACAGAAAAATATGATACTGAATTACCTGGGGCCGGTCGTTCAATGATGATATCTCAATGCCGTTGCCCTTTTCAAAGGGAAAAAAAAAAGTGAAGGGGGGTGGGGGGGACGGGGCGGGGGGKGGAAAGAGATTAAAAACGGAGGGGTAAAGAGATGAAAAACAAAAACAAAAAAGAAAGAGAAGGGAATTAAGAAAAAGAAGGAAAAAAAAGAAAGAGCTAAGGAGGAGCAGTGTGCACTGCGGCACATTTCAAGGAAGCGTCAGACTAGTACTGTCAATGAATCTGGTCTGTTTTCCCACTCACATGCAGTCGTTTTGACTGCCACCGCGCCATGGTCAGTGAATCATACTCTGACATGTGACACCCTGCTTGGAGCAGACGCTATTGATGGGAAGAGCACTTTTGTTTCTTTTGCAGCATTATATTCTCTCTTCATTGTTTGGGTCAAGGAAATGGTTTTTCATTTTTTATTTTTTTTTCCGCTATTTCACGCGGCCACCCACCTGCCCCCCACCCGTCCCACACCTGTCACACTAACCCAAATACATGGCTATTGGAACCTCCCCCTCCAGTAAATGACAGGCGTAGGTGGGGTCAATTCTTATATCTGAATAAAAGAGAAGGGGAAAAACTTTAAAAAAGGGAAAAAAAGGAGAAAAAAAGGATCCCAATACTCTTATATAGGCTTATGAGGTGTGATTATAATCTCTTACCGGGGCCGTGGTCCCACTAGCGAAGGAGATAGGGTAGAAATCCTGAATCTGGCTATGTTTTATGCAGAGATACAGAATAGCAGTTCTATCTCGATTTCCTGCTCCTGTCCTCAAACACGTCCAGATTCAGGCATTCAATCCGATGCTCTTTGCTAATGGGACCACGGCCCAGGTCTCCGTGGGCGAGGACCCACTATGGTCTTCATCTGAATAGAACGCAGGTCAAGATAGCTGTAGTCGGCGCGGAACTTTCAGTCCAGATATGCAAAAGAGGATTGGATAAAGCACCTGAATCTGGATGTCTTTCATGCAGAGATGCAGAAAAGCAGATTGATCTCGCATTTCTGCACCGCTGGCGTCAAACACGTCCAGATTCGGGTGTTCACCCCGCCCCGTGCCATTGGCCAAATTTGTCAAATATAATTCTGGCTGTGGGCATACTTGGGCAACGTTAACACTTTTTAGCTTATTTCTCTGGACGGAATTGCGGCCAGATCCATGCGTGCCTGGCTGTTAATGCGGTCTGATGCATTTTGGAAAGTGCTTGTGCGAGTAGCCCAGTTGGTACCAACGGGCTTAGCTCAGTTGGTACACCCATCATGACCTATGAACTGGTGAAATGCAGATCCAAGTTCGAATCTAGATGCTGCCATCAGATTAAACAAAAGAAGGTACTTCTGAATAACCTAGGGCGATGATACATATTTTATTTATTTATTTTTAAGTGCTTGTGTGAGTGTGCCCTTATTCTTAGCGCAAGAAATTCGAGACAAATGAAACTCGAGAAAAGGCCGGTGTAGCCTGCATACTCGTCTTTGTGACATTAGCCACCCCCAACCACTGGCAAATGCTGGGCAGAGTTTGGCGGGGGGAAGGGGGAGGGGGAGGGGGAGGGATAGGTGGGGAAAGAGGATCCTCGTGTTCGCACACATGGTTGTACTTTTTGTAGTAGGAGAATGCGGTAGAAAGGAGCAAGGAGAGAGATGAAAAACCAAAACATTACCTTTGTCGGCCTTGGCCAATATTAAGTGTAGTATCTGTTCTAATAATCAGTTTAATAATATGTGATCCATGGTCCATTGAACCCAAAAAAAAACAAGAAGAAAAAAACAAGGAAAAAAAAACAAGAAGGAAAAAAAAAGAAGGAAAAAAAAAGAAGGAAAAAAAAGAAGGAAAAAAGAAGGAAAAAAAGAAGGAAAAAAAAAGAAGGAAAAAAAAAGAAGGAAAAAAAAAGAAGGAAAAAAAAAGAAGGAAAAAAAAGAAGGAAAAAAAGAAGGAAAAAAAAGAAGGAAAAAAAGGGAAAAAAACTAGGCTACCAGCCGGGCCGCCCGGGTCCCCGGTGGCCAGCCCGTGCAAGGAGCAGGGAAGGCACCAGCAAAAAAAAAAAAAAAAAACT